TGTAAGAAATCACCATTTATTTCTCTAATGTGGGGTCAAGAAATGAGCAGAGACATCAGGTGCTTTGTAGAATATCAGATTTGATGAATAAGGACCTTTGTATTTTCATGTCTTGTTTTCTAAGTTTTCTATTTGTGGGCAGAAATAGAACTATAAATAATAAATGGTTAATTTATTTACAAAGTACTGTCCATCACCAATGCTGATGGAATATGCCTGTTTCTCTTTGGGTTCATCATACAGGTTGTTGTATGCAGAGAGGTTTCATGGCAGCACTGCAGGCTCTGCCCTGCAGCAGAGCAGGAGTCACTTGCAAGCAGGGTGAATTTGCAGGAAAGCTTGTGCACTTTTCAACATAGCAAACACAAGAACGTATTGAGTTACAGCTGCACAGGCATTTACTCAAAATCAAGTAACACCTTGGCTGTGAATTCACATGGGATATTAGATGATAAGTTGTTTTCATAACCATTGCAGACCTGCAAGGAAGAAAGGTTACAGAGGTACTGTGAGGGAGCTCTGCAAATAGACTGAGGTTTAATTCAGCATCTAGTCATAGACTGGCAGGTACAGACATGCAGGAGTAATACTCCTAAGCTCTTGTTGTTATTGCTATTATTACTGTTATAGGAGTTAACAGACACCTTGCATCAGTATTAAATCCCACTGGTGGCTTCTCTTACAGTGGAAAAATGCATGCAGTAGGCATAGAGAAGGATCAAGAGGGGAAACCTAGAAGTGGTGACTTCTGTATTCAAACAGGAGGGAGAAGTGAAAACCTAGAAAGGAGCCACTCCCAGAGCTGAGGGAGAGTACATGACTGTCAGAAGAGGACACAGCAACAGCATGGAAGGGCACTTGCTGGAGGCAGACACTAATAGCAAGGTTACAGACTAGAACAAATTGCCTGTGAAAGCATCCCTAAATCTTTCTACAGGTGCGCTGATTCTTTTGACACTGATAAAAATATTCAACTCATTTTTGCTGCTTGAGGCTTTTAACTAACTGCTGTCTCTTTCATAGATCTTAAAAGAGAAAAGCTTCAGCTGAGGCTTTGGATTTGTGTCAGAGGCTTAGTAGGGAGAAGTCCCATAACCTTCCTGAATGACAGCTTTGTAACTACTCTTCTCTGGTTCATCCAATTAGGAAGCTCATTCAGGGAAGTTCCAAGCTTATGACTGGGACAGTTCAAAGAAGAGCATCAAGAAATACCAGCAGGTAACATTCAGTGAAATAATATTGTCACCCTTCGACAATGCAGAAGCACTGGGAAAGAGAGTAATGATGTATCAAGAGTCACAGTTTCTGAATACATGTAGAAGGATTTAGCCACCACAGTTTGTATTATGATTTGCAATTTGGAAGTTCAGAGAGAAAAATGCAAGCGTTATTGTTAACAAAAACGGGGAAAAAAAAAAAAAAAAAAAAAAAAAAAAAAAAAAAAAAAAAAAAAAAAAAGTAAAAGAAAGAAAGAAGAAAAAAATAAAAGGAAAAGAGATAGTAAGATCAAACCTTTTTTCATGAAATGGTCAATAGTAATAATAAGAAAGAAGGGCAGAAGAGATGGAAAATGAATTCTGAAAAAGAACATCTAGTGGGTCAGACCAAAGAGGAATTTTGCCTATGAGCATGGCTGACAGTTGCCAAAGGGAAATAGTATCAGGAAGAAGGCAAGTGGAGAGTCCTAGTGTGTCTAAAAGCTACCTAGATTCTGGACTCAGGAGACCTTGACCTTTCATACACCCTGAGCAACCTCTCCTCCATCCAAGACTCTGAGCCCATCCTTGACCCTCTGACCCTTTAGGTCTCCAAAACAGTCTGTAATTAGGAGTTTAATGTTATGTGTTTTGATGATGGCTTGCATGAAAAATAGCTTCCTTTGGCTTGTCTTGAATTTTCTTGCCCCTGGAAAGTCACTGGATGCCTTCTAGGTTTTGTGTTCTGAGAAACAATGAGATAATTACTTCCTGTATTCTTTCTTCATACCACTCATGACTGTTTTTTGTCTCCTGTCCCCATGCTGGCCCCTATTTTCCAAATTCAGGAATCCTGAGCAGCTTCCTCTCTCCTGCTACAGAAGTCACCTCATGCTTCTTTTCACCTCAAGCTTGTGACACCTTGCCTTTTCTAACCAGACTACATGCGTCTCCTGGGGCTGACCAGTACTCCAAAAGGAATATGTGAGATGAGGTCCAAGACAGAGGTTTATCCAGGCATCCTCTGTCTTGTTCTGGGCTCCTGCCCTACAATTTCCTACCTGAGAGAGCAAAGATCTAACTGCAATTGTTTGTCAGCTCAGGAGGTGTGTTTCTTTTGCCTGTATTGTCATCTGATCATTGCTGTGAACACAGACAGAAAAGACAAGCAAGGGCACTTCCCCGCCCTTTATCTTAGGCAACTCTACTTTGAACACTGACTGAAGAAAACACCAGATGCATGTTTAAAGGTTATTCGTCTTTACTGGACATTCATTCCAGCACTGCTTCATGTTTTCCAGGCTACTCCTCCTCTATACAAATTAGAACAGATGATTGTACCAACTGCAGTATGGACTAGGGGAAAAGACTTGCGAGCAGATCCCAAGGATGTGGCCTTTTTACTTTCTCAGATTAAGAGGCTCCTCTATCACAAGATGATTCCTGAATGGGCACACTTGGATTTCCTCTGGAGATTGGATGCACCTTTGTGTGTTTACAATGAAATTATTGATGTGGTGCAGAAGTATCCTTAACTCATAAGCAGTAGCCCTATCTGGCTAACTTTTTCTGAACATGATCACTGATCTCAAGAAGTTTTCCACTGATTACATAATTTCTCACTTTATTGGGTTGGCGGTTTTTGAAAGGACTGTATAAACTGAGATAACTCCAGCAGTTACAGCATTTATCAGTTTTATTATTAGTAAGATGATAACCAGAAAGAAAAAACAGAGTTCACACAAAATATTCAGTACTGTAAAAAGAAAAAGAAAAAAAGTTGGTTTATCTTCATTTGAAAGAGAGCCTTTCCCTAGGCTGGAAAGAGTGCTTTAGAAAAAGCACTGAAGGTGCTATTCCATCCTATTCCATCTCCTGTGGGAAATCTCTCTTTACAAACCTTGCAGCAGTGATGTAGTTATTGCATAAAAGCACTCACTTGAAGGATAGCCTCCTTGGTTATTAGGTTACAGTATTATAGCTTTGTGCGTCTCACAATGAAGTCTCATTAGTGGAAAAGAAATAGAGTGCACTCAGGGTGTCACTTTTTCAGTGTCACCCTCAGTCTCCATTTGAATCAAGCATCAAGATGGGTGAAGTATGGGATGTGAATCAGCAGTTACAGCTGTTGCACTAAGATAGTTTACAGGTGACATTATATAACTCTATGCATAAACCAAAAAACTAACCATGGCCGATACCACTTCTATCCCCTTCCTTACCAATACCACCAACAGGCCTGTTTTGCCTCCTGAGTTGAAGCCCATTTTGCTTCTTTGGCCTCCACAAATATAAAGTTTGAAAAAATCAAATCAAATTCCTTCCAGGCAGAGATATACCCTCCACTCAATGTAAATTCCAAAATAAAAGGACAAATGCATTGAAGAGAGTAAGCCCATCAACAGACTTACTGCTGGTAAAGGGAAATGTGTGTCAACTTGAGATCTAGCTTATGAATTAGGTTTAGAAATGGAATAGCAGTAGCAGAGCATCCCTCAAATTCACTTGGGAAAGAGACTGAAGCTATGCACCTATCTTGCAACTTGAGGGACCAAATAAGAGGCTGGGTGTTGAAAATTTTGCCATGGGAAATCAGTAAAAACAGGCTGGACAAGTGGTACTGGAAATATCACGGAGAATGTTGATCTCACCTTAGGACATGAGGAGCGGTGTATCATCACATTTCAGAGCCCTTCTGACAGAGAAAGTTAAGCTTTGGTGAAAGTTTATCATGCAGAAACATCAAAGCTATAGTGCTTTTCACTAAGAAATTATCTTTTTCATCATTCCACATAATGCTCTCATTGTGGTGTAAAGTAGATTTTTTGTAGTTTGTGTGTAGAATAGAACTGTTACTGTGGCTTCTCTGGTATCCTGTTCTTACATCACTTCTCTCCTTCCTCTGCCAGCTTACAGCATTGTATTAGCAGCTGAGAATATATATCTTTCATCTGCTGCTCTTCTAAAAGCTCAGCAGTCAGTCCATGACAAAACACAAGTTCTTCCAAAGATATTTATGAATTCATAGGCCAAAGGCCTGGTACTCAGGCATGAGGATTCTGCTTTGATTGTAGCCTAGGTGGCTGCCTTAAAAAAAACAAGGTGCCCTTCTAGTCATCATTCTAGCCATCAGTTTCAGTGAGAATGAGCCTCTGAGCTGACCACAATGAATCCAGCAGTCAGGAAGAGGTCCCCCAAAGATACAGTGTTTTCAAAGTTTCTGAAAATAGCTAGGGAGAAACAGTAACTCTTGTTTATTCTCTCCCTGGGAAAAAGGTTTTACAAAGTGTTCAAGCCTTCTTTGACATGAGAGTGTCTCTATGTGAGCCGTGTCAACTCTGAGAGCCTAATTGAGAATAATATGGATATCCAGAGTTGTGGTTCTCACTCAAAAACATGTTTAGGAATGTGTGTGCAAAGATAAATTTGAAGTTAACATAAATGCAGATCAGTAGCAAGAAGAATATTCTTCAGACAGTATGTTGTGAGAAATTAGACACTTCTTACTTTTCATCCTAAAATATTATATTTAAAGCAGTCCTCAAAGTGTGAAATATTACAGGTCAAGGTCTGCCACAGCCCAGGGAACTGGAATGCCCAGGTCCGTGCTGAATATCATAACCACTGGTATGTAAGCAATTGTTAACCTCTCCTGATACATGGTTTTGTGAATTTAACTGGAAGATCTTTTTCATCACAAAGATTTCCTCACTTCTGAAGCACTGCCAAATCAGCAGTTAAACATGCTCTACAATACATGCTGCCAACTCATGACACTCACTATCCTGAAGTGCTCATTGTGCTTGGACTTCCTTTTATTGGCACAGGTTTCTGCCAGTGAATCATTCCGCTGCTGGAGACAGACAAGGAACTGCAGCCGAAGACACAAGTAAGGCAGTCAGAGCAGAGGTAAGTTGCCTGTACATATGTGTTTGTGATCTCTTTCTCTGTTGCCTATCTCCATAAAGACATGCAGTCTTGGTTTTGTGCAGTTAATTGTAGGAATAGATGGCTTGTTTCCTCTCTTATCTGTAAGCCTATTGCTATGCATGAAAGTACATTTGCTGAAGTTGGAAGACAAATAAGTTCAACCTGCAGAGAAAAAAAGAAAAAGAGTGACTGTTTCATTTTCCTCTACTTATTTATTCAGTCTAAGAACAAGAGAAGTAAAGTCTGAGTATTGAAGCAGTGTATGTAAATTGGACTTTCAGTTCTTGAAGTTCTATGCATATGTACATTTTGTTAGTAAACCAACAGATTCTCATTTATATGGATAAATTTCTGAAGGTCTTGTAGCTCAATTTCACTAACTCTTAAAAGTCCAAAAAGATCTTTTAAGTGTTTTCTGACTTTTTTCCTTCTAAGTATGTTTCTTTTCTGACAGTTTACCATGTCCAGCATTTCCCTATGGTTTCATTTCTCTTGAAGTCTTTGCTCCTGAGGCTTACTGGAGCACTGGCCTGCTAAGACTGATGTTGCTTAGCCTGCTGCATCTGATTCAAAAGGTGAATACCTGGAAGTCTGTGAGGCATGCCAGCTAACCTATGTGATAATTGAGTGCTTTGAGAAAAAATTGCCCTAACAAGAGGAGTGATTTAGCCTCTCTATTGCCCCAGTATGACTTGCGAGAGATTTGAAAGCACGCAGAGACATTAGCAAAGTATTTTCTTCCCAAGTGAGATTCCACGTGCAGAGACAGAGAGCTGCATTTTTCTCCCACTGGGACAAAAACAACAGAAAGCAGAAAGGAGTATTGTGTTGACTCATTGTGTAGCTGGGAGTCTTCCTGTTTGGACAACAAAAATTAAGAAGTATTCAATATACAAACAGAACTGAATGGTATTTGTTTTGATGCCAAGTTTAAAGTTTTGGGTGTTTCCAAACTCTGCTTCATTGCAGTTGTCTGATGACTCAGGAGGTTTGTTAAGTTTGTTCAGTAAAATTTGAAGGTTAAATTGAAGATCAGAAAAAGCCAGAACTACATTTTTCATAGGAGATTTGGAGTGCAAAAATCTCTGGTCTCAGAAAGACTTGTTACCCAAGCCTGATTTATTCCTAATGCAGATGGGTCTGCTACGAAATTCCCTCATGAATCCTGATGACCAAGCACACATACTGTGGCTGTCTTGGAGCTGTATGAATGCTGGTTAGCTGGCTAGGTCACTTGTGCTGACTGCTCAGCTCATTGTAGAATATGTCACAGCTGGAACAAATCCCCTGCATAGTCCTTCCCCTCAGGAGTAACTGGGAACCCTATTACTTCAGAGGCTCAGTGTTGCATTTAGCAGAAGTTCATCAGTGACATCGAAAGATAATAACAGGATTGACAGAACGGTGAACAAAGTTAAACATCCACAGTGACAGAAGCATGCCCTGTTCTGAGGAAACCAAGCCTACAAGAGCCATGATGTCCCCAGTCACCACTAGTGCGTCAGTCTTACAAGAAACCTCCATGAGCTGAAACATTGTATTGCATTACTCATCACTTTTGTCCCAGAGATCCTATTGTTGAACTTTAGGTATTAAATCTGATCTTTAAGATTGTTATCCACTTGCAGAATGACTGCTACTTATCTTTTTCAGCCCTTATTCTCCCCTCACACTGGCAGACACAGCACACAATCATAATTAGATATATTGAAGCTTTTCCAGAAATGTAAGTCCAATCATGAGCTACATGGATGAATCCTTTTTGTAAATTTCTTCACATTGGAAAGAAAATTCCTATCCCACTTATTTACAGCTCTTTTGTAGGCAAGAAGCACTGAACACAACAAGTTTTCACAAGTATTTCTTTTGCTATCCAAACAGATTCCACTCACAGTCCCCTAACCAGTAGCTTTCTATGACACATGGTATGCTCTTCCCTCTTCTAGGGAATGTTGGAAATAAAATTTGTATGCTGACAAAAAGTCCAGGGAGGCTCACAGAGGGAAATGTTCTACAGTCATCAATTGGGTTTGGGGAAAACAAAGACTAAAGCCTAGAAGTATATCTACTGTAGGAGGCATCAGCCTAAACTGTTTCTAGACAGACTGCACTCTCCAATTTCCATTCAGAATAGCTGCCATGGAGTCCAGCCTGCAAAGAGCAAGGTGTCACCTCCCCACAACCAAGACAAGATTTTCAACGACAGCTGCTTCTGAGAGAGAAAGGATAGAGACCCCTGGCAAAACACTGTCAGTTTCCATTGCAAACTGCTCTAAAAATGAATACTTCCATGGTTTCTCAGTGGTAACAGCCATCAGTTTGGGAGACAGAAACTCTGAACTAGCAGCAGAAAAAATGAGGGAAAAAAAAGGAAGTTAGCAGAGAAGGCTCTTGGATGAAGTGGCAGAAATGGGCTAGTGAAGAATACTGTTGTTATGGTAAATGGATGAGTCAAGCAACTCCATATGCAGGACTTCCATGAAGTCACAGCTCTCTCTTCCTAAAGCAAGCATACTGCATCTGTTCTTTCACACAGACCCAACATGTGGTGTCTCCTTGTGCTACTGTGTTCCCAAGCCGTTGCCTTTTCAGCAGGATTCACAGCACTCCATGCTCTGAAATCAGAGGAAGGGCTGCACAGGAAGCAACGCAACCCTGAAGACCTCATGAACGTTGTAAGTTGCCTCATTTTCTCTGCATACCTTCTTAACATGTCTTTCACAGCCCCACTACCCCACTGTACTATCTCAAACAGGCCATGTTAAAGTCCTAAAGAAGGGCCCCCTCCCTATTGCCCACTTTCCCAACCTGCCTTTCCCAAAGCCACTGCATTAGATTCAGGACTGCAGTGAGGGCCATCTCCGAATGCAGTGGGGACAGACATGATTTGTGTGCACTGCACCAGAACACTGACACAGCACTGGAATAAAGTGTGCCTGCTCCTGCTCTTGGCTCAAAGGCCCAGCAACTCCCCAGAAGCTGCTGGAGAGCTTGAAGATCCAGGCCACTGAATTTTAACCTCAGCAACAGCTGGGGTGTGTCACACTCCAGTGTGTGACATACCCACAGTGTGACTACTGTGGGTAGTGCACACAATATGCAATTTCAGCCTGAACAATAGGATTTCTCTGCCTGTATTTAGGGTGAACCCTAACAGATACGTGACAAACACATGGCTTATTACTGTGACTCTTGCTTGCACAGTCACCTCTCCCAACACACCTTGATGTCTCCAGCTAAAGCTGCACACAGGAAAAATTGAACTGGGGGTGTTAGTTGACAGCCAGTTGAACATGAGCCAGCAGTGTTCTCAGACAGCCAAGGCCAATGGCATCCTGGTTTGTATCGGAAATAGCACAGCCAGCAGAGCAGAGAGGTGATTATCCCCATGTACTGGGCACTAATGAGGCCACATCTCAAGTAGTGCATTCAGTTTGGGACCTCTCACTACATGAAAGCTGCTGAGGCCTTGGAGTGTGTCCTGAGAAGGGCAACAAAACTGTGAAGGGTATGAAGCACAGGTGTTATGGGGAGCAGCTGAGGAAAATGGGATTGTTGTCTGGAGATGAGGAGGATATGGGGAGATTTTATCTCTACAACGGCTATGGCGAGGTAGGGGTCAGCCTCTTCTCCCAAGTAATAGCGATAGGAGAGGAGATAATGTCCTCTAGTTGTGCCAAGGGCGATTCAGGTTGGATATTAGGAAAAAATTGTTCTTAGAAAGAACGGTGATGCACTAGAACAACTGCCCAGGGGGATGGTGGAATCACTGTCCTGGAGGTGGGTGACTAAATAGAAATGTGTAGATGTGACACTGAGGGACAGGGTTAGTGGGCATGGTGGCGATGAGTTGATGATTGGACTAGATGATCTTAGTGATCAATGATTTTATGATTCTACGCTCAGTACAGTGGCAAGTTCTGGGCTCCATCAAAAGAGGGGTGGCCAGCAGGGACAGGGAGGTGATTGTCCCCCTCTACTCTGCTCTTGTGAGGCCCCATCTGGAGTACTGCGTCCAAGTGTGGAGCCCCCAGTACAAGAAAGACAGGGAGCTGTTGGAGAGGGTCCAGAGGAGGGCGACTAAGATGATCAGGGGACTGGAGCACCTCCCTTATGAAGACAGGCTGAGGGAGCTGGGCTTGTTTAGCCTGGAAAAAAGAAGGCTGCGGGATGATCTCATTGCAGCCTTTCAATACCTACAGGGAGCCTACAGAGGGGAGAGGAATCAACTCTTTGAAAGGGTTGACAACTGCAGGATGAGGGGAAATGGTTTTAAGTTGAGGGAGGGAAGATTTAGGTTGGACATCGGGGAAATTCTTTACAGAGAGAGTGGTGAGGCGCTGGAACAGGCTGCCCAGAGAGGTTGTGGATGCCCTGTCCCTGGAGGTGTTCAAGGCTAGGTTGGATGGGGCCCCGGGCAGCCTGGTCTAGCATTAAATGGGGAGGTTGATGGCCCTGCATGTAGCAGGGGGGTTGGAGATTGATGATCCTTGAGGTCCCTTCCAACCCTGGCCATTCTGTGTGATTCTGTGATTCTGCAAGGGAGGTTGAACCCTTCCTTCAACCAGCAGGTTCTCACAACACTAAGTACTTCAAGTACTGTGAATTTGTAGTAGGCTTACATGGCTTACCTAACCATACTTTGGCAGGAAAGGACTCATTATACTACAGACAACATTTTTTGGCATAGTCGTATACCGATACTGGTGCATGTTATTACTCTTTAGAAAAGTACCATCTGTATCAGCCTGGCACAACACGACAGATGATCTCCCTTGGACTTGCTGTGAGAGTTTAGGTAGTCTCCCTTGAGGAGACAGTACCTGAATACAAGGAAACCTGACTTTTCAAACTCCTTTCCCCAGTCATCACACTTTACAAACATGCAATTGATTTGTTACCTTTATTTTTAGACATGTGTCTAGTGAGGAGATGAAAGCTTTCAAGATTTGCAATGCACTGAATGCTGAGTGCAGCCAAGAGCTACCTGCCTGCCTTCCTCTGCTTCAGAATGGGATGGTTTCCATGTTACTAAGCTCTCCTTTGGCTTCCCACAGAGTGAAATGATCAGGTATCATGGATACCCATGTGAGGAGTACGAAGTTACCACGAAGGATGGATACATACTTGGTGTTTTCAGAATTCCCAGTGGGAGGAACATGCATAATACAGGTGTGGCATACATAAGGAAGGTCTGGGATCCAACTCCTACTTGGGTGCCCCCATCTTTCACACTTGCGTGTGCAATGCCATGTTCCATGCTTTTCCATCTCAGCAAAAGCAGCTAGCAAGGAATTCTGAAACCATCAGAATCCTCACATTCAATGTCTCTGTAATTTCAGACTTTTCCAACTTTGTTACATTCCAGTTTTTCCCTGTCACATGTGTTGAGAAGAGGGTTTTAGAGAGATTTACCATTAACATTCTAATATAGACTTAAAGTAGCAAACAGAGGCTTGCCAACTAGTTAGGCACATCAGTAAGAATTCTCATTTTTCTGAAAGACAGATTTCTTAAAGGTGATAAGAAATTAGGTTATCATGGAAGACCAAATGCATTTCATCTGAATAGCATTAAAAAATTCAACTTGGAATTCAAGATTCCCTGGATTTTGCTACTTCATATATTACTCCTTAAAATTATTCTATAATTTGTTTTGAATACCTTCCTTGGAGATCTGGACCAGCCTCACCATCCTCAAGATAAGGCTGATCAAACTTAGATTGGCAATCCTCTCTTCCACAAGCTGTTCTGCCTTCAGTATTTTTCATCTGTAGGTAGATGGTTTCAACTTGTACCTTGACTGTCCAGAGCAAAAGTAGATGGGGAACTGGCCACCTCATCATTTTTTTTTATTTTTTATTTTTTTTGCCAGTCCTGACATGAAATGGTTAAACTGCTTGCATGGTACAAACCCTTCAGGTTTCTCAGCCCAGTATCTATGCATAATTCTTATGGAAGCTTCTTAAAGGAAAGACTTAAAATCTCTCACAAACTAAACTCTGCACTCAAATTAATATTAACCACTGCTCCAATATAAGAATATTTTAATCTTTTCCAGGACAAAAGCCTGCAGTCTTCCTACAGCATGCTTTTCTAGGAGATGCCACCCACTGGATTTCTAATCTGCCCAACAACAGCCTGGGATTCCTCCTTGCAGATGCTGGCTTTGACGTCTGGTTGGGAAACAGTCGAGGAAACACCTGGTCTTTAAAACACAAGACCCTTAAGCCCTCCCAGAAAGAGTTCTGGCAATTCAGGTATCATGGGCAGGGGAAATTACTCAGGATAGAAGGTCCCAAGGGTACTAGATAGCTTCATCCTGATGGGATTTTTGCTTAGCATCAGAAAACGGTCTACATAGTCCAAGAAGAGTTAAAAAGCCAGACAAAGAAGGATGACCACTGGAACTCATGGTTGGGAACACTGGCTGAGGAAAAGATTTCAGACACTGGTAAATGAAAGGGGATGCTGAGGAAAAGGGAGGCAGCACTAAGGAAAGGAGATCAATAAGCTCAGCTGAAACAGGTTGAGCAGCCTCATCTGGAGATCCCTGATCTCTCACAGCTGAAGTCAACCAAAAGAAATGTATTTTGTAACCCTTGCTAGTGAAAGCCCTGATTAAATTCACTTTCCCAAGGGCCACATATGACAGTTTTGCACCTTCTCTGTTGACACCCCAAGGCATCAAGCAACCTGTCAGTACAGATGTGTCCTTCTGTGCCTTTCTTGTCTTTGAGTGGATCCTGCTCAGTGCAGTGAATGAAACTGACATTCAGTAATTCACATTATGATAACTCAACTGCCTGCCAGATTTGTTTGTTTCTCCTCTGTAGCTTTGATGAAATGGGTAAATATGATATTCCAGCAGAGCTGTACTTCATCATGAATAAAACTGGACAAAAGAATGTGTACTATATTGGTCACTCTGAAGGCACTGCATCAGGTAAGCTCAGGACACTTACGGTTCACCATCACCTGTGTTCCCAGCTGATCAGGAGGTGGATCTCCCCATTGACTGCTCTTTTCTTTGTTTGTGGAGAAATGCCTTCTGAGATTAGAGTGCAAAATATGAGACTTTTTTAAAAACAGCTTTGGTTGCCATTATAAACAAAGAAATCTAACAGGAGTTAGAAATGTACTCCAACTTTTTAAACAATTAGAGACTTAAAAGCCGTTCCTTAGTGTGTACTCCAGATACACTGGGCATATTTCTTAAATTCTCTGCACCTGGAATTTTAATTAAGTTCATCTTTTGTGTTAAGATATACAATTATTTTCCTTATGAACTGTAAAGAAAAACTAATAAGAAAAAAATGCATATAAAATACACAATTTCAAATAAGACAAGGAAGAAGAATCTTAGCATTACCAAGTTGTATGACTTAATACCTATCTTATAAACATTCATGAAATATGCTTTAAATAGTCACTGGCCACATTACCATTTAAAGATACATTGCCAGAGGCTGAAAATTAGGATCTAAAAAGCATTAATTATATATTTTCTCCTTGAGCCAACCTTTAGCATTAACCAAATTTATGGCTTTTGAGTGCAACTTTTTTTTTCAGCATCAGCTAGAAGTTTCTATTGTTTATAGCTTATGTGCAAGGTTCATAAATGGATGTTGATTGAAAATGAACAACAAATCACTCATTAGGGAAAACTATTTGGAAAAAAAGAGAAGAGATGAAAATGTGGGAAAATCATATACTATCATAGGTCTAGATCTTTCCTTTCTTATCCTCTCATAAGAGTATTAAAAGATTCTCAAAACAAAGCTAACTAATCATACAGATGCCTCTGATGTAAACAATCAGTTGAAAATACTCAAAGCTCCAGTATTCAGTTTATTATTCTACTGTTCCATGGATGCATAAACACCTACGGTCATTTAAACGCTATAATCTGAAATTTTCATTTTTTTTAATAGGGAGTTTTATGAACATTAGAGGGAATCTGATCTTGTCACCTAAAACTCTCTGCCACATACTTGTGAAAACTGTTCTGATAAAGGCAAAGTTTAGACATTCTGTGAAGTTCAGGATGAACTCTGACTCCCAGATAAAATTCATTTCAGGATTTAGCATTAACACTTGCCTTACCTAGAAGATGCAGCGCAGATAAACACGGACAACAGGAAATGGGTTACAAATCTTGTCTCACTTCTCATTTGCTACCTACTTCATACTTGTTTATTTTTGCCCGTTGAAGATGTTTTCACTAACTCAGATTGGCTCTTCTACGTTTGCAGGCTTCATAGCATTTTCTACATATCCTGAGCTGGCTAAAAGGGTGAAAGTATTCTTTGCTCTGGGCCCAGTAACCACTTGCACATATGCTAAAGGCCCTTTGATGAAGATAACAAAACTTCCTGAAGCTGCACTCAGGGTATGTCTTTCTTCCCCCCACAAGGCACAAGGCCTGGCTTACCATCTCAGGGTCCAGGCTGCACAGTCTAGAGAAACAGCTTTCAAAGGGACAAGATGCTGATACTGAGCTTGGGATAAAATATATGCTTTTGAAAATTCTCTTCTGAAACTCTGGGGTGGGGGAAACACAGGAGAAGAGAAAACTGGGGTTTGCAGCAGGTACACTGAAGTATGAAATTCTCTTATCGTTGCCATAAACTAGTGTTTTGCTGGCCTTGTATAGGAGGAAGTAAAACAGATCTGCAATAATAGCTATAACAACCTCAGACTTGAGAAATTAGTCAGCACTGTGGCCACAACATTAGAAACCAAAGGGTGGTTTCCTCCAGGACTGAAGAGAGTAAAAAGAGCAGGAATGGCTCGTGGTGAACCATTGGGAAAATAACACTTCAATGGGCAGTAGGAGGGCAAACTGTTTCAGAAATCTTTGAATACAGAGTTGGGAGACTAGGCTATTACCAACATTTTCCTGCATAAAATGCTCTTGTAACAGAAAAAAAAGAATTGTTGCACTTTTCCCTTCCCTCAGTTAGCATTTGGCTGGAAAGGAACCATGCACCAGATTGGATTTATGCAAGGACCCGTGACGCAGTTCTGTACAAGCAGTGATAGATTTTGTGGCAAAATACTCTGTTATATAGCTGGGGGCAACATACAAAATCTGAACACAGTAAGTATATGCAAAAACACCTACTCAAAGTAAAATTAAAGTGATTTTGGAAATTATATTTTGCACTACGTCCTTAACCTTTTGTCATAAACGTTAATGTAAATAAAACACAACATAGTTCTCAGCAGAGAGAATACAGGACACTGTGTGGACGAGGACTAGAGTTGACGATGAGACCAACAAACAGACATACTATGTCTCAGAAAGAAAAGGCTGAATTTAGTCTGCAGCAATATTGCATACATCTCTAGGTATGTCCTCTTTTGGGGACAACCAGAGGTCGGTCATATACACATGCTCTTTAAAAAGAGCCAATGGATGATGGAATCAGACTTCAGTGTTATTTCTTAGCATGCAGACACTATGGTCCTTTGAACAATAATTAAAAAACTGGAAAAGTTCTGCTTCTCTTTCCAAATTTTAGACTGCTTGAGCCAGATCTCAGTCTCAAAGAACTACACAAAGTCCCATTTTTGCTATTTTCAGAAATGGGCCCAACAGTTTAATTCGCAGCACAGAGAGCTACAGAAATTCCTTGCCCTGTGCCTGAGGAGTGCAACACTATGAGATTTCTAGAGACAAGTACTTGACTTGGATTAAGTCATTAATGTTCTCCTCAGGGCAAGGTAAGTCTGAAAAAGAAACAGAGGGGATGGAAATAAAACATCCCTTTAAGAAAACAATAAACACAAGCAGATGAAAAGTCAGCCTGTGATTTATAAGATTACTTCTTTAGCACCTGGAAAAAAATAAGGAGAAACTGAGTCTTCAAAAGACTTACGCATGGGTGGAGGTTAAGCAAGGATGCTACTCCGAAATAACAGGAAGGTTTTTTTCTGCTTCTGAGGACCATAGGATTCCACAGTGGTACTGTATTACATCCTCAATATAAGTTGCTTTCTGAAGAAAAATCTGTGTACAGATCCACGCTGTTAACAACCTAGTCCTATATCTGCCTTCCACTTTTCTGTTTGATATTTGAAGATTATCCTATTAAAACAGAGCTATAAGACAGCATTGTGTTGCTCAGCATTGGATCCCTGCCTTTATAACATTTTTGCTTTCTCTCCAGAGTCGAATAGATGTATACGTAGGACACTCCCCAGCTGGAACATCAGTACAGAATATAATACATTGGCATCAGGTATAACTGCATACTGAAATATAAGCACTCACTACAGCTTTTTATGCAGCTGACAGGCCATGGGGAACTCCAGAGGCAGCGGTTCTGGGAAATTCCCACCATATCTTCTCAAATAACACCCTAAGCAGATGCCACTGCAGGAGCACTGCTTCCCACACCATTACCCTAACTGAGCCTTTGGTATCAGGCAAAGAGATTTCCCCAGGGCACATCAGGCCTCTCTGCAGTTGGGCTCCAGTGGCTTCCTGCCTCCAGCTTTGTTTTTGCCTTGAAAGCTGCAGAAGAGCACTCAAGCACAGCCTGGGCACTTGGCAGGCAGTAGGAAGACAGTGGAAACCTGACTATGCAGGGGTGAGCCAGAACAAAGATATGATCCAGGTTTCAGCTCTCTCCCGGAGGGTTAACTGCAGCCTGGATCATCCCCCAGAGCCCAGTCAGCCACACACAGGCTTCTGCTGGGACAATGGGAAAGTGGAGAACAGCCTTTTCAGCTGGCATCCTACTCTCAGACCTGAGTTTGAACCAGAACATGGCAAGAGAGTGCCAGCTCAGAAGCACAGCCCTGCACGTGCACAGCACTGTGACTGTTTTGGCCAGCACTACATAAAGAGTTCAAATCTCCAGCATCCAGACCATCAGCAACCAGATTTGGCAAATGGAAGCAAGGTAGCAGATTTCTATAGCATCCTCAATTACTCAGACCTTCAACTCAGCCCGTGTGGGAACAACTGAGGAAGAGCTCCATAATGGCCTCTCACCTTTCATTCTCTAAAACCACTCAATAACCAAATTACTAATCAGGTCTGAATTTTAAAAGGGCACTCACCTTTCCAGTAGGACAGACTCAATTGAATTCCTTTTTATAACAAAACAGATTCAAGAGGGCTACTGCTAAGTGACAAACTAATTACAATCCACCTGTGGAAGCTGAACTCTGGTAGGAATAACAGTGTGTCTGGAAAGGTCACCATTACTGTGAGCAGATCAGACCCCACTGACCCACAAATGATGTGTTGTTGTGAGGTGTGATGTGAGGAGATACCACTGATTACACCACACAACTAATAATAGCCCTGACAGGTTCTAGACAGGTCCTCTTCCCAGTGTGAGAACTGGACACAGCCCCACGTCACAACTAACTGAAGTGACTCCAACCAAATTTGAAAAACAAACCATCCCAATGGTGACAGCTGGAGAACAGGACGTAATGTTTGCAAGGGTAAAGGTGACAAAGCCACTCATGCCATCCTATGGCCCATCCCAGGAAAGCTTGCAACTGGAGGAAGGGCCAGGAGGAGTCTGATCCTTGTGTTCAATCACAGGGAAGAAAAATACCACCAGCGCTCTGCTCTGTCTCTTAACGCTTTCATTTTATCTGTCCTTGTTACAATATCCACAGGTGTTCCATGCAGACAAATTCCAGGCTTATGACTATGGCTGGAAGGAAAATATGAAGAAATACAACCAGGTAAGGCAATATCGTTTTCCTGAGAACTTCTTCTTGGGTTTTGGCAAAACTAAGAACTCAGCACTTCAGCACACATGACATCAGCTGCTACGAAACGTCTAAGGTGTTGTGAGATAAAGTTTCACCTGAACCTAAACCTAACTAATATAAAAAGTTTATCATTCACAGACAAAGCATAGACAGTTTCTTGCAGACAGTTAACAAAACTTCATTTTTCTTTCCCTACTGATGCAGGGATGTATTCATTGACATGCTGACTTACCAGCCATACTCAATTGACCAAGATCCATGGCTAAGTTCTAGGACTGTATGAGTATGAAGCTCCCAAAAATCCTCAAGGCCTGCCTTTCAATTAGGGAAGAGCCTCCATATGTGACCTCCATATGGTTGACAGTCATTTCACTTTTAATTAACTTCGAGCCTGATGTTCTGTACTACATCAGGTTGCTTTGTACAGATTGAAAAGCTGCAAAGACATCAGTTGAAAAGCAGCAAAGTTCTGCCTATACACAAAATTACAAATAGCCAAATTATAATATTGCTACTTCATTCCTAAATATAACAATTAAGACAAAAATATAACAATTAAGATGCACTTCTTGCCCCAGCAAAACATTAAAGAGATTCCCTAAATATGCGCATGGGTAAGCTCCACGGTCTTTTCATGGTAAATGGATTCACTGCTCTTTCTACATCCATACACATGATCAGAATAAGCAGATGTCAAATTTCAGGACAACTCATAGCCACTCACTGCAGAAAGAGTCTAAGAATAGGATGAATCATTCCCTTCCATGATATGTAGGGACTGGAGCTAGGGAAATATGCATTAAGAGAGCAGACTTGATCCCTACTCTTTTCGTGTAGTGAGTGCAGAAGAGAAATAAACCTCTGCACAGAATCCTTTTTCTAAACACAGCTTCTGATATAACAGCATTCACTCAGATGTCCTCCCTTTCTTGCAGTCTACTCCTCCTGCATACGAGATAGAGAAGATAAGCACACCCATTGCCATTTGGAGCGGTGGACAAGACAAATTTGCAGATCCCAAAGACATGGCAAAGCTGCTTTCTCGGGTTACTCATCTCTCTTATCATAAGCATTTTTCTGACTGGGGACATCTTGATTTTATTTGGGGCCTTGATGCAGCTGAGAAAATGTATATGAAAATCATTGAACTGCTAATAAAATACCTTTGAAACCACATGCAAAGTGTTGATCCATTCAAATCTCCAACATTTTTATTTCACAAAAAGAATGATACCTGAGGAACAGATAAACACAGAGACAAGAGTAAAGAATTCTAGTACAGGTGTTTATCTGCACTTGCTTATTTCTTGCTTTCTACATAGTTAGAGGTTCTCTGTGATGTTACTGTGACTGGTATCTTCCTAGGAAAATTAAAGTATATGGGAATAAAAACTGAAAACACAAATACATTAGGTCACATTCTTCAAGGATAACTTTATTTGGACAGCTCTTACTTACACAAGACTGATTTTCCTAAGCCTAAATGATATATTCTCTCGTATAGGCAGGCAATCAGTTATTTCCAAATACCAAGAAATTCAATTTCAAAAGACAATCTCAGCCTTGTTTTTTGGACTTATCCGATTATTCTCCTGCCCTCCTTGACCATACATCATCCAAAGATTTGTTCATGCACTGTAAACCCTCAGCTACAATGACCATGGGTTGTAGATGAGGAATAAGAGGATGCAGATACATCAAGCCACACTCCAACCAATACAGTTGTCACCTCATGTAGTAATCTTAACATATGCAATTAAGTGGTTGAAAGCACTGTGCTATTGACTTTGAATTTTACGTAATTTTGTGTCTTGGCCAAAATTTGTTCATGGTATTTCTGAAATATGTGAAAGCATTCAACTATTCTCCCTTCCAATCCATTAGCTGAAAGGGACATTATCTTCAACCTATGCCATCTGTGCAAGCACTTCACTTCTACTGACATATATGTTGATCTGGTTGAGTACCTGTCCTCAGGTTACACACAAAGTGGTCATCTGTGCAGGCTCAGACAGGTAGCTTTGTTTCCTGGGGTGATTCTGGGAGGGATCTAAAGCCTGACTATATGCTCAGCCAAGACTGCCTGCAGTTGGAGTTAGTATCCAATAAGCTAGGTACACAGAAATATATGCCAGATTTGCTGCAGTACAGAAAACGTACTGTAATGTGGTCCATGCACCTCGTCTAGCAGCCATTAGCAGTGCTGATCATAGCACCTATCTTCCAAACTTATGGCAGCTTACACAGAATGGCCAAAACTACTGAGAGAGACAAAGATCCATTAGACCAAGGAAATAGGACACAGCAGTGTTTGAAAGCAGACTTTCATTTATAAGTGCATTATTAAACCACAGAGTGGCAGGCCAAGCTAACAAATTACTTACCACTTCTGGTTTTCTACTATCTTTACTTACACAATAAAAGATTCATGAATTTATTATTATTATTTTGGTATGTGCACTCTCTGCTGTGTGCACCACTCTTACAAGCATACTATCCTGTCCATTTCCTTGAGAATAATATATCTGGCTCCATCATTACAGCATTTCACTGTTTTATTTTTTAAATTTTATTAATTTTTTTTAATATTGGAAAAGTAGTCAAAAGACTTGCTTCAAACAGATTTTCATTGTTATTTATTAATTCATTAAAGGAACTTGGAAACTCTCTTTGTTTCTAGACTCCAATAATTCAATCTCTTGATGCTTCTTTTATGTAAAACAGAAGATAATCTTTCTCTTGTAGCAATATCTTGAGAATTAAGGTGTGGGAAATTTGTAGAAAAGAAGGAAGAAGTGCTAAGCAGAGCAATCTATTTGAATAGTCATTCCCATGGTAGGAAAAGAAATACTTAGAGAGTAGGTGCCTGACCTTGTATATGCTGCTGTGGTATACTGTTCAGCTGTATCCCCTAAGGAAGCTGTTACACAGACTATAAAAAATATTTTATTTCTTCATTGGCTGCTTATCATCACGTGTGGTGCTTTGGTTTCCACAAGTCTTATCTGAGCAAATCAAGCAGTAAAATTGGAGGAGCAGATGGGAAGAGCAATATTTTGAATGCAATTGTACTCATTCACAGCTTAGTAAAAGCAAATGAACTCCTTTCAGTCCACACAGTCCTGAGGGTACTCACAAGTCTCATACAAAATAGTCAAAGCCCACATCAATTTGGGTCAATTATCAGTCTGCAGACCCCTGCAGGACTCTTGCTGCTATATAGAATGTATTGCCTGATGGAGTGATTTTCTGCGCTTTCAACAGTCCTTGATGAAGTCCCACCAAGCATTAGGAAGTTTTCCTTAACATGCTTTCAATGTTGCTGAAATGTAGTCTTCTTGCAATATCTAAAGGAGTCTCCCCATCCTGAAAGAAACAGATGAAGTACATCAGAATATGATAAATATAAGTCAAATACAAACAAGTTTCCTGAACTGCCGTCCTCGGTGTTCTGCATGAATTTCACTGTCACATCCCTGATCTAAAGGAAAGATTTCAGGATACGCTGGGTCCAACAGAACTCTTACTGAAGTAAAGGGTAGTACCCTTGCCTCTTCTCCAGTAGCAACAGCCGATCCACCATTCCCTGGGGATAATGTCCAAAGACATCACAGAGTTAAGAGCTAACTTCAAGAACAACACAGTCAGAACTTCATTTGTCTAAACTGAACAATAATAGATACTCCTGGATATTTCTTGTGACAGTATTTGAGCTCCTTGAAGGACAGCAGAAGCTTGACTTAGCCCATTTCAGAAGAATGATGTCTACACAGAGCTCCTTGGAGGGCTCTTAGCACTTCTCTGCATCCTGCATCTTAGGAACAACTGTAGCATAGCTCTGAGTTCAGCAGTTTTGCCAATCTTGTGAATGTGTACACTGTTGCTGATGGTAGAAATCCAGTGTGAAGTACCTGGACTTAAAGTTCCTGTTGCCAATAAAGGAAATGGGGCAAATATTACTTTAAGCCCCACAGCAAAAAAATCTGCTGCCAGGAAGCTGTGCACTGTTTCTTTTTTAAATTGCTACACACCATCTAAGGCCTACAACATATTGATTCACTGTCCTGATAAGGATATCCAGTTATAAGCTCCACCTTCTTACCTGATTCTTCACAGAAACATCTGCATGAGCTTCAAGCAGTAGAGGAATGACTGCCTGATTTCTCATTTCACAAGCGTAGTGAAGGGCTGTGCTACCATACTGAAGGGAAAGAGTAGCAGATGGATTTTAGTTTTATTCCTTCTTTAACAGAAATTAGGTAAGTAGTGCTAGCAAAATCCCTTTATATCTTATAATTTTCCCCCTAACAATTGGATGAATAAAATATATAATCTCATGTTCCAATGCACAACACAGTAAAGCACTTGTCATAATCACAACAGGAAAAAAAAACCTCTTCTAGGATGCAGTTGCTAAAACCAAGTCTGATACCTTTAGCAGGAAGCCGGTAGTTCTACACTTACTTCAAGGGATTCTGTGATCTCTAGCTCAATAAATATTTCTTAATTTATATTATTTTCTCAGACTTATGTATTTTAGAATTTGGTTGCTATTAAAATTGTAGTACCCCCTTTTGTGCATTGGAGTTCTTTGGCACACCCAAGCAAAATAGTCAACACAAACACTACACATGGCAGACCAGTATACTCTAAAGACCAAGAAAAGACCAAGTGCTAAGGCATGACTTTTGCCCAGAGGTCAACCTTAGCCTAATGGTGATAAATTCAGAACCTATATCATCACCAGAATATCTATGTGATTAACATTTAATATCTCAGTATTTCAACTCAGCTGGCCTGGATTTGCTTTTAAAATGACTTTGGTTGAAAAGGTCTTGATAAAATTAAAAACCCAGTGAAACTGAACTCCAGGAGTATACATCACAGCAGTCAAGAAGCTGATAATCACTTACAATGGTCTGAGAAAAACACACATCTAACAACGTCATGCTAGGTTTTAGATGCTGTTT